GCAATATATTGCTTAGCAATTTTGATGTCCTGAAAAGTTTTTAAACTTAGTCTCAACTATGTCGCAGTAATATCATGCTGAGAGAAAAAAGGAAGAGTTAAAGCAAAAGAAAAACTACATGTTCAATATGTAACCACAACCTCATCAGCAGTATAAAATGTAACAACCAGTTCCATATACCTCATCCAAAAGCCTTTTTTCTTATTTAATTCTTAATGACTCCTTAAGAAGGCTACTGCCACTTTCCAGAATATACTTTCTACCTGTAAATATGACCCACAAAACAAGATGAACAAGCTCATTGGATGCTATCTGCCTACTCTATGCAAACCTCAATGCAAAAGTACTTTATATACTTCTGTAGTTTGTCTGCATAACTTTCTTTTTCATGGTATCATAGTTATCACCTTGATTTACACTTAAAAGAGCCTGACAGCAGAACTGCAAGGTTCAGAAACAGGAAAGTCAGCTCTCTACCTTCTATGAAATTAGTCCTTTCTCAGGTATATTTTGTCCCCTTCTTGTTGCAAGACCCATGCTTAAACTTGAATGAGCACAACTTCAGTAACAAAATGCTGTGTTCACACAGTAAACTGCTTTTAGCACCAGAAGCAGCAAGGCAAGAGAAGGATGTTGATGATCTATATAGCAATATATAAATCCAAGCAAATACCTGGAGCTGCCAGAATCAATTACCAGTACTAAAACCTCACAATTCTTTACAGTGGACATAGTGGTGAAAACACTGTCAGCTTACACAGCACGCTAATGTGAGCCAAGCAGTCAAAGTAGCAGAGGCAATCATACAAGGAAATAAAAATTTCAGAGCAGAAGTACTGCCTCTGACAAAGCTAGTATTAAATTTTCAGTCTCTCTGCTCAGGTCATATTCCTAAGGACTCAGAAGTAACCCTAACTGGCTCTAAGAACACGCAATAGCAGCAAGCAGTGGCACAGCCAATTTCCTTGCTTTCTAATTTGTGGATGGGTGAGCAGGCCCCCCTCCTTCCAAGCTTGGCCTATCTGCCACCTTGAACTATGAAAAAGGTCTGCTGTGGCCTTGTAGGTTCACTGTACAATCATCATTCCACCCCACTCACCAGTGCTCAATTTAGGAAAAAGAGGAAGGCACAGTGTGCTGCAAAATACTTGTGCCTGCTCTGTGGCACCACCACCAGCAGAACGTGGTAATTAGTCAATCAGATCCAGAGCATGAAATGTCTCCTCCAATACTGGAAACCCATCTGGGGGCTGACAACTACAACAGGCATAGCTTCCTTCATTAATGACCACTGCTTGCATTTTTTGGTTCTAAATTAAGCAACAGTGCAATGATACAAGACCATAAGATTGTAACTGCTGTATATAACATTGATGGCACAAGTCTTCTCCAATTAATTGAAACACCCAAATAGCAAAACAATAACATTTAAATTCATTTTACAGATTATTTACCAGAAAAAAAGGGTACTTTACCCATACCAACACTATTATACATTGTTCTTCCCATCCCAGTCTCTACCCACACATAATCTCACAGTTAGTGGAGCTGTACACAAGAATGTCTTGCTTCTGCTTCAATTAATCTTGGGGACTGTGCTGCAGAGGCAGCCAATCAGTTGCTTGCATTGTGCATTCATATAAGAATAAATAAAATGCCACTAATAATGCTGTTCCCTTGACTAACTAACTAAAAAGCATCAGGAATTAATTCCTGAAAAACATCCTGAAAGAAATGCTTAGAACTGTACTTTACTATTTTGCAGTGGGGCAAGTTTTTGGTCTTTATGGCCATTGTTTTTATTGTTTATTTGAGGTAGCTTATAGTAAACCATGAAGCATCATGTGGTACCAAATGAAGTATCTTCATGGTCAGAGCCCAATGCAAAAAATGGACCACACACTTCAAATACACAAGTCAGAAGGGCCATTCCCAAGAGATGTTTTTTTAACTGTTTTTAATACATACTTATATATAGCACAGCTTCTAGTGTTCTAAACATGCCTGTGCAAATTAGACATGAAATGCTGGTGAAAGGACATCGGTTTGCAAGATTTTTATAGCTATTTTCATTAATATGACATTACCTCTGTCAAGTTTAACATTTCAAAATAAATCACTTTTTTAGTGCATGCACTGCAAAAACTGTTTAAGCTACAAATAGTAAGCAAAAAATAGCAGGCATTATTTTAATCAGTAAATGAAACTCACGATAGACAGCTATTCAATAAAATACTTTTATTTATGTATAAAGATGCTTTTCAACAAACATTATATTGTACAAGGGAAGACTTGAGTTTGCTTAACACTTTTAAATTAACTTCAAGGGGGAGTCTCCCTGAGGTTAAAGAAGGTTTCTTATAACTGTGTATCACATCAATATTTAATCCATGTTATCAGGAAAACACAAAAAGACTCTGAAAGATTTGGACATGGATATTTAGTCGAAGACGGCAGGATGTATTGAAAACTACTAGACAAAAATATTGCAGTGGTAATGTGACTACTCCAACATCATGACCAGTACTGCACGTAAGAATAAAAATAAAGAAAATTGGTGGGTTCAGGGGGGAAAACAATAACAAGTTTTGGAGAATAAAAATAGGAAAGAAATGGAGGAAAACACAAACTGTTATTTAGGAATGCTGTATGAAGACAGTAAGACCCAGATGACTGAAAAAGGTGTCTTAGATCAGATATTTTTCTTTAAAAAAAACCCCCAAACCGAAACAACTGAACACCATTATCCTCCTCACAGTTTGCTGATTTGGGCTTTTGTTGTTTGGATTTTTTTAAAAAAAAGCTCCAGCTGGAAAGGTGACACGAATACCACTCCTCAATTCAGCTTGTCCAACAAGAAAGCAGAGGCAAGTCCATAGCAATCACCTTGGCAAACAAATAATACACCCAAAATCACATTACGCAAATTTTTCAAATCCACAGCAGCATACCCTGTGACCCAAACCAGACACTGCTGAAGCTAATTGAATTTTTCTAGATGGAATTGTGGATGAGGCTGTATAAGAAGGCCCAGGACTGGGATAAATTTCACTTAGTAGAATTTACAAACAAGATTTAGCTACTCTACCTTTGGGCTGAAAAGGAGCACTTAGTTATAAGGGTAAATAGACACCAAGTTCAAGAACTTTTTCAGACTTGTTTCAGAGCAACATGACTTCCACAACAATAAACCAGAAAATCCTCCTAAAGGGACCAGTCAACAGATAGTGAAGAATCCCAGAAGTCTGAGATTGGAAGAGACTTTACAGATTACCTAGCTCCAACCCTCCTGCTGTAGGCAGGGACACCTTCCACTACTCCAGATTGTTCAAAGCCCCATCCAACCTCACCTGGAACACTTCCAGGGACGGGGTATCCACAACTCTCTGGACAACCTGTTCCAGTGCATCACCACCCTCTCAGGAAACAATTTCTTCCTAATATAATCTATCTCTCCTTCTTTTAGTTTAAAGCCATTACCCTTGTCCTATCACTACATGCCCTTATAAAAGGTCCTTTTATACTACAGTGTAATAAAAGAGGCTCTGTGTAACAGAACTGCTAACTCCAACACAAAGCCATGAAGGAGATGAAGAAGAAAGGTCTGTATTTTTGTTGTGTTGTATTTCTTCAGCTGGACTGTAAAGTATCCTTAAACCAACAGAAATAAAATAAGTGCTGTTATTTGCTTTATAGCTTTCTTGTTCTAGCTGGTCTACCAGTATATAGGTTAACAGGGGCTCCAACATTAACATTATATAGTTAAGACATTCAAACCCTAAGTCTTTTTGTGAAAAAACTCACACTAGGATGCAAACTAAAAAGACTAAATTATGATGATAAAACCATCATTTTAATTTAAGATTTTAAATTCAATTAATAAAGTTATACAAATTAATAATATATTAAACTTTAGACATCTGGTATTATAAATTTCCAGCTGTCTTTTTCAGTCTCAATTCAGTCTCTACTAACCCCCACCCTCCATATTATTTTATTTTAGCACATAGGAACTTCACATTCCATAGCCAGCCACTACAAGAATTACACAGTCATCCCACACTTCTGATGCTTCCATTTTCTGTTAGAATTCTTCAGAATGCTGTAGCTGGGATTTTAACAATTATTATCTTGTTTAATCCACTCCAAACCTTCAAGTTTTGAACTTCACAGTGTACACCATCATTCTGATACCAGATGACTTTCTCTCTGCCTTTCTCCCTGGAACGCTTGCAAGTGAGGTTTGGATTCTGCAAGATATGCATTCAGATCATATTTTTTGGCTCCACAGGCAAGCAATTCATCCCTATGGTTTCTTCCAAAGTGCTTTTAACATTATTCTCCCTCAGACAACTCCTCAACACAGCTACACCATTTCAAACTTTTGAGAACCCTTTTTACAATAGGATGGCACCCAGGCAGGCAACACTGCAACTTCATTTTGCCCATCTTAAAAATAAGAAGGTAGCTCAAAATTTATATTTTATCTATCAAATATAAGCAGAATAACAGACAGGGATGCTGTGTAAAATTGCTGCGACCCTCAGCCTGGTTTTGAATGGGCAATTTCAGATATTCACCACTTCATCATTATCAACAATATCTGGATATATACTTGTGACCTAAAGTAAGCAGTTTCCTTCACATCACAGAACACCAATTCAACTCTGTACTCACAGAGTGAATTAGGGAACACAGCAACCCGACCACTGCCTTCACACAGAACAAATCAAAGACATTCCCAAAAATTAATAAAATGGGGCTGTTTACACTAAAGAGTGCTTCCCTCACACATTTAAAACAGTATGTTCCACCACAGATCAGTCCACAAAGTCTCTAATTCATGGCTTGATCTAAAATTCTTCACAGCTTGGGCTCTCCCAGTTTTAAAGCTTTGGGAAATAAATCTGTGTAGCAGTCATGTCACACAGAGTTCCAATTAACCATTTTTTAAAAATCTCATTCGTTCCATGCATCAAAACTATTAACCCTTGTCATTCTCCTGCCACTAGGCGTCACTCTCTTCTATCGTGATCTTTATCCCTCCATCCACTTCCCAACATTTCACCCAGGAACCGTCACACCAATATTTTAAGTAGGAGAACATCCATCACCATTAGTCCCTATCTAAAGAACAACCCAGTTTCTCAGGTCAAGGAAAGATTTTTGTGATGTGGCAGATAAAGTGAAAAGGATTGTTAGTGTTACTTGGTATATTCTTTAAAGTTAAATTAAAATATTAAAATAACCGAACTCCTACAGGAGGTGATATGGGCTTTCCTCCATAGAGGAGTCACTTCAGGTTCTGAAACCATCTAAAACTAAGTGCATTCCCAAAAATAAGAGGAACCATAACAGAAGCACTAGTGGAACTAATTGCATGACCCATCATGTGGGACCTACAAATGAAATAATTTTACTAATCAAGCAGCATTTTTTTTCAAGGACAATACACAGTCACCTTCTGGTGACTTTCTGGTGTTGCCACTTGTATTTCATTGATTTCAAGTCCAGAGACCACTCAAATGGCAAATGCATCGATCTCCACATGCATGGTTTTGATGGATATGAACTCCTCCCATACAAAGGGCAACCTCAAAAAACTACAACTTTGACAACAAAAACTCAAACAATTATTTTCCTGTTCCTTAAGTGCACTTAAAAGAGAAAAAGAAAAACAAATACCCAAAAAAACCAAAACCCATAAACCAACCAACAACAATACCCAAACCCAGGCCATGACTGCATTCTACCACTGACCAGTTCTTCCACTTGGAATGATTCATTGACACACAGAAATTAGGTACCCATGCATACCTAACTTAGATCATAATTGATCTTAATAAACAATTTAACACAATTTTCAGTATCAGTATCTCCACCATATGTGAAATAGGATTCAAGCTAAACTTGATTCAAGCTGAGCTTAACAGATGACTTACTGTAAAGACACTTTGAAGCATTAGGAAAGAAAACATGTCATTAGGGAGCATATCACTACTAAATGATGAAATACTGTCCAACCTGAAAAATTGTTGATGTAATTCATAACAAGGGTTGAAGTTCTTATATGTATACACATAAGAAATACAAACAATGCTTTTCAACACTTGTGATGCATACAGAGTGCTACCAGCAGTCACTGTGTCAATGAGCTTCTTGCAAAATCTTCTAGTTTACATGCAAAGAATGATTTTGCATTGTATTCTTGTTACCCTGCTGGGAAATCGTTGTTTCAATGCTATATCCTCTTCTTTTGATGTGTTTCACCATTTAATTTTCCATTTTCCACTGCTTTATTTTCAAAGTTCCAGTCAGTTGGGCTGAGGAGTTGCTGAGTTTTTTTGTATGTCCAGTATGGGTTAAGTATTAGTGTAACAGCAAATAATCCAGAGAATAAAACAATAAAGTGAAGAAGTCCCAGATTTTCTACAATAGAATTCCAATTGAAAATACACACCCACCACATGTGGTAGGTAAGAATCATGCGGCAGTGGAACAGATGGATCATCACCCACTGGTTTGCCTTCCAGAAAAAGGTGTTAGCACGGCCAGCCTAGAAAAATAAGAACACAAAGTATGCAGAAGTGAGATTGTTACTTCAAGATAAGGAACTGAGGAATCTGTAGAACTAATACAAATATCCAGCTTTCATATACACACACTCTCAGACATTTTTTCCTCATAGTGCAGTGTTACTCCACATATATATGGCATCCCTAACTTGGTATGGATCTATACCATCCCACTGTGCATGCACACAGCACCAAACAAACCTACATGGAGGCCTGCACAAATAGCATCATGACAAAAGCAGGTATGACAATAACACAGATATCAGCTTGATAAATGCAGATTTGATGAAAAACTATCCAAAAGAACCACAGAGATTATCTATGAACAAGTGAAATGCATGAAAACTGCTACAAAGATAATCTGAAAATTATCACATTCTTACCTTCAGAAGCATCCAGGAAATGCATGTTGAGGGAGTACTCATCTCCAGCAACATTCCCATCAAAGGCAGATAATGTCCAGATTTCACATTAATTACTAAACCAGCCAAGCCACCAAAAGCAAGCAAATGATGAACTACCAAGAAAACATCAAATGTTCTAAAAACTATGTTGGACATGTGGACTGCTACATTTTCAAGCAAGAAAAATCCAGCTGCTATTAAACAGTTAAACCAACTCCACTTTTGCTGTGAATAGACTTTGTCAGCATGAAAAACGGGATCTATGAGCAAAGCCCATAACCCAGCAACACAACTCTGAAGTCCAAACACACCACGTGTGACTGCCATATTCCAAAACACCTTCTCCTTTGCATGCAAGGCACGGTAAGTGGTACTTCTCCAAGAAGACAACCAGTGAGACAGAAGAAATACTCCCAAGTAGATTAAAAAACCAGCAGCTAAAAATGTCAAACGAACTTCCCATAAGAGATAGTCCCAGTCAAAAACGGTCCCAAACACTGGATCATCATATGTAGGATTCATTTCTTCTCTTTTGACACTTCTCATCCCCACTATAGTTTCCTTCATGCCTATTTAGTCTCTTCTGTTATGCAAACCAGTAAGCACAAACTCTTTCATCTGGAACAAGGAGAAAAAATTTAAGTGAATTTTTAAGTACATCCATATATATATATATATATATATATACATATATTCTAAACCATAGAGGGTTTACATCCACTGCAGTTATGACTTTGATCCTGTTGCCATTAGGTACAGTCATCCCGAAGACAGGCAGACAGACAAAAAAAGCCTTAAGCAACAAGATTTACAACTGGCCCATGAAGTCCCTACTAGCACAAAATAATGCGGTGAAGCAAAAGCAGAAGAGGGTCAAGTAGGAAGGCAAGAAAGAAAGAGAAAATACAGGAAGAAAATCCTGTTTTGTTACTTATGAAACTTTCATTTCAACAGCATTGCGCAGTTTTTTTCCTACTCCCCTGCTTCTCCCGCACTGATTTGCCAGCATTTGCTACAGCTTTGGGTGCAATTCAGAATCATAAATACAGATCCAGGACATAAAACTACAGAAAACTAATGCAGTACAGGGGACCACTTATACCAGAAAGGGGCTGTAATGATCATGGCTCAAAGTAAGCCTCTGCAACCAGTTTATGAACATGAAGCCACTTTCCAAAAGAACCCATATTCAAAAATGGAAAAAGAGTATGGAATGCAGACAAGCAGCATTATTACATATTATTAGCAACATCAGTGTAATTAGCTGAACACCCCAGCATTAAGTGCCTCAAGTTCTCTGAAACTTCCTGAACACGCTGTAGTTCAAAAACAAAGGCTTGTGGGGAGGGAAAAGCCTGTTAATACAGAAATACATAAACTCCAGGTGGTTTTATGAACCATATAGATTATACGAGCAAGACCACCACACCAGCCGCAACCTGTGAGCGCTTAACAGCACTGTGCGTATGGGAGTCTGGTCAACGCAAGTGAAAAGGCCACAGAGACCACCGAGGGCACAGCGCACGGCAAGAAGCTCCCGCCTTGCTTCAGCAGGCAGCAAATGCCATCACCACTCCCCGGGGTGCACCCTGTGGGGCACCCACTCGCCCTGCTCTTTGCTCGCAGGTGCCCCGCTCCAAGGAGGGGAAGGACCGGGAGCCCCGAAGACCCTTCGGGCATCCCCCGGCATCACACTTGGCAAGACTCGACGTCCCAGCAGGCCCCTCGCCCTCATCTCCCCGGGGAAAACCAGGGCAAAACACACCACCTCACGGCCCGACCAGGCCCTGCACAGCGCGACCCACTACCGCAAGCCCTGGCTCTATCAGGGTCGCGACAGCTCCTCCTCCCCGGCACAGACACGGCACAGACACGGCACCGACACCCTCCGTAACCCTCCCCCGCTCCCGGGGACCCCGAGTCCCTCACGCAGACCTAGGGACCAGCCCCGACGCACAAACCCCGCTCCTCACCCACAGCGCTGCCCGCAATGACAGGACAGCCCTTCCCGGCTGCGGGACTGCCCTCCCCGGTCCCCCAGGAGCGCCCGGCCCGGCCCGGCGCGGCCTGCCTGGGGAGGCCTCGACCCGGCTCNGGCTGTACCACTGGGCGGGGGGGCCTTGTTTACAAGGCGGCTTTCGCCAGCTGCGAGCCGGGCTGGACATTGCCACCAGGGAGAGGTTAACCCTTGAGAGATGCCTGCTCAGCAACACTGACAGTGAAAAAAAAATATCAGTGGTGGCATAGCCAGTACATTTAGCTATAATTATCCAGTTTCATTAAAGACAGCAAGTTACTGAATGGATGTCACGATTTCTACTACATGATTCTCTTCATATTTGTGACAATTGGTGTTGTCATCCCAGTGACTCAGGCTGAGTCTCCCGAGGTGGCTGAAACTACCCCGGGAGGCTTCCTCGGCTGTGTGACAGGCCCACACCCGCGGTGTCCTTTGTCTGAAACAGGAGTGACTGGCACGGACTCTGGATTTTGCCAGGAAAACGCTCAGTGCCACAACAGATCAGGTGATTCTTCAACAAGAGCAGCCAAAACAGACAAATAAACAAGCCACAACTTCTGTCATGTGGAACCTAGAACAGCTGAAATCCTAACCTGTGCCTACCTAGGATGAGAGACCAGAGCTGGAAAACCTGCATCGGCAGGCTGACACGCTCTTGGTTTCCAGATGGGGAGAGGGAAGTGCTGTGGAAAGCTGGCACCATAGCAGGATAACAGGTCACCAGGGGTTTTGCACATTTGCTTTTAATTGCTAATGTGATACCGGGGTCTTCGACAGACCCCTGTGTTCTGTGAAAAGTAAGATCTGTTCATATGCTACCTCAGTAGTTTACATACAGGCAGCCAGAAACACCTGTTTGTTGGGAAAGTCTGGGGACAAAACCTACCTCTTGTGCCTTCTTTTAATGTGCCGGGTGCGAGGGACCTTCTCTCTGAGCTGCCCTGCATTCAGCCCAAAGGGACAGCAGGGCTCGGTGCCCGCACACCCAGACAGTACCTGTGTGCCACTGAGGTGAGCCACAGGCACAGCACACCTGCCTCTTCCCTACCAGTAACCTCAGCAGGACCAGGCTCAGCAAGAAATGCTGAGCAAGAAATTTCAGCAAAAATACTGATTTCATACAGCAGGCACAATTGAGTGACAGAGATACTAATGACAAGCTCCGGCAAATTTGTCTTGTAGGATTCATTTTTGCACAAAAGGGATAGGAAATTTGTTCCAAAGCCTTGGGATTTGGTTAGATAGGAAATTTGTTCCAAAGCCTTGGGATTTGGTTAGAGCCATTTACTGAGGCTGAAGGGGAAAAAGGACCACAGGGCCTAAGAGATGTGAAGAAATCTGGCAGAGTTCTCACTTGAAAAGTACCTCCTAGCTGACGGTTGGTATTTACTTATCAGCCCCTGTTTTCTAATTCCTTTAAGTTGTCAAGGATTTTTTTGCTTAAATATAAAGAACTGTGACCGCAATGTCAAAAGCAAGATCACTTGTCTTTTTTGTGGATTTTCTTTGTCTTTGCTGCCTTTCTTGCCTTCTCAAAGCAAGAAATATAGTAAAAAAAAAACCAAAAACGTAGCATCTTTTAGTTACTGGCAGCCATAGCCATGTTGAAATAGTTCAGTGTTACTTTCTGAATCCTCTACTGATACAACAATCATACTTACTAACAGCTTTTTTATAGGCATTCCCTTATGATCATGTCAGGTATTTCAAAGTAGTTCGTCCTGCAGTGAGGCTCATCTTCTACATTATGTCATACTCACTTTTCCCTTTTACAGACATTCTGTCTGGGTGCTACAGCATACCCTGTCCAAAGCTAAATTTCCTATCTAGACTGTCTCAATTTTGGAAGAGTTTCTCAGCATCCTCAAAATGTCATGGCTGGAAGAGCAGAGAGCACCTCCTGGCAGGGATCCCCGCCTGCAGTCTGGATGATCCACTCACTCCTAAAAAAAGTAGCTAAAAGCCTCTCCATACTGACTTGGTAGTGCTTGCCTGAAGTCAAGAACTGAATCTTTTTCACTTTACAATACCTGTGTTTTGTTGCCTCCATGTCTACATTTATACATCCTCCACCATGTGAGGGCTGCCTTTTACTTTGAAACAAGTGGTTGCATCCCTGCTGAGAACTGAAAATTATTTCAGTTTTCACTGTTCCCAAACCATGTGTATAAATGTTGGCTTCAGAAGGTAATTTTGACCATACTGCTGCCGCAAATGCTGAATTCCTAGGAACCCTTTAGACAACCCTTTTTTCATTATTCCCCAAATCAAAGTGGCATGATCCCAAGTCCTGCTCCATGTGCTTCCAGGGGCAGACTAGTCCCCTTTTTTGTGGTGTGAGAGCACATAAAAAGTAGGCTTAGGAGATGTATGGGGACACAGGACAACCAGTGGCACCGTCAGTGAGAGGGGAGCTGAGCCTACTGTTTGTGCGGAGACTGCAGGACTACAGTAGGATTTTATGTGTAAGTGGTGGCAATACAGAATATGGCCTACCTGTGCTTCCATTGCCATTCACGGTGAGGTGACTAATGTGTTTTAGGACCAAGTTGAGAAAGGAGTTTCAAACCTATTACCAAATTAATCCATCCACTGCAGAAAGCTGTTTGTTCTGTAAACATTTGTCTTGGACATGTAGTGGCACAAAAGTCCACAGTAAGCCACTCTGAATTCTGCCTTTTGCAGTGGAAACAGCAGGGATTTTTCTCTCTGCATGGCGTGATGGGGCCTGAAGTTATCTGTGGCAAAAGAAAAGGGATGGAGATTGGAAGAAAACCTGCCTGGTGAAGCTATTCCCTGATCATTTTATAGCTCTTTGTCATCCTCTAAGTAGCATATGAAAGAACTCAAGTTACTGCCTAAGGTTATTTTCATTTTCATATATTCATTTTAAAATTTCAAAGTACCAAACACTTGTAGTCTGTGTATGTTGAACTAAATCATATGATCATAAATAAAACCTGAGCTGGTAATCTCCCTAACAGAGGATAAAAAATCTACTGATAATTTAAAAGCCAAGACCTCACTGACTTCTCAAAAGGTTTTAGCCCTCTGCTCCCAAAGTTTTAGAAAAACTCACACATTTACAGACATTGACTCATGTATATAGGCTCAAATTGTGTTGACCTGTCATGTAATCCTGTATTGCAGTGGCATGCTCCTTGAATTCTCTTTTTAAACTGAAATTTACACTTTTTCCACTTATTAATCTACAATCTGGGTTCAAATCTACTAATTGTGAGAGCTTTGGTTCAAGTTTGTGGGAGGCTTAGTGCATGCCTGCCTCAAGGAACACTGTGGCAATACCAAATGTGTAATCTTGGGTTTTTTCAGTGCTTTTATACACACTCTCAAAGTTCTTCTGATTCTTGTCCAACAAGTACTTATGCAGTATTCCTAGATGCAAATCACAATTGTTAAAATGAGCACTTTGAACATGCTTGTTTAAGGCCTTTTCCCTCTTAACTAGTAGGAAGTATACTTGACTTCTTTTAGAAAACCTGTATTACAAGGCTTTCATGTGTGCCATGGATTCAGAATGTCTTTACATTACATAACATATTCATCCACCTAGACTTCTATGCTTTCCTCAGTACTGGGAGATCTGCACAAACTCTTTTTGTATTTCACTTATAGTCAGTTTTAAATAAATTAATCAACTCCTTATGCTTCAGAACAGAATGAAAGTAGTTGCCTTGAAACACCTGATATTCTCAAAATTTTAAACAATTCAGATTTGCTGAGCATCCACACTTTGAGCTATCAACTATGAAATTGTCAGTTTCTGCCTGCTTGAATCTTTCCAGATAATGGAAGTGATATAGAAAAACTGGAGATTCTTAACTCAGTCCCTCTGTGAACATTCCATGAAAATGCTGGAGGTATGAAACCACTGTTGAGTAGTGTTGTATATCTCAGTTTCACTCCAAAAGCTCTGTTACATGTTGACATAGTTCAGGATATTACTCATTTCCATGCTGAACCTGTGAAATCTGGCCATTCCTTATCCACTGCTTAGTTGGACCTCACCAAGTATACAGCCTCTGGACAATTATTCCTTCACTATTTCTTCTCTTCTCATTCTTTTAATTCCATTTAAGGCAAGATACCCTATCATAATTTTTTCTAATCCTAATTTATTTCTATTTTAGGCTTCTCCTGCTCCATCCAACCATTTGTGTCATGAATTTATCTGAATCTCAAATTCTCTCTTCTGCTGGCCCTACTGTTGATCTGTGAATAATAAGTCATGGCAGCTTCATTTCTTCTTTGTCCCCTTAAGTTCATACCTTACTCCACAGACTTCTTAGTCTCTTTCTGTTTTGCAAGCTTCCCTTTATATTCCGTCCACCATAAACATGTCTGTTGAGTCATTGCTTAAATATAATATTTTTTTCCTCCCTCTTTTCACTACCTCTATCTTGTTGATGCTTCTTTATGGTCCTACCTGAGGATCTTTACCTTTTAGTGCCCAGTGTCACTGATGTCACTAACCCCTTCTTTTACCCCATAGGAAAAATAAGTAAGAATTATACTGACTGTATTCAGTCCTGCACTTAAGTTCCTCAGTTGCTTCTTGCTGGCTTCAAGTAAGTACCACGAGGTGATGATAAGATCTTGGGTTTCCAGTTGAACCTTTTTATTCCTCCCTCACCAAACAACATGTCTTAACAATGTTTGCTGGAACAAGTTATTCTGCTGTAATATTTAGGCTCTTGCTTCACAGCTGTAGTCATGAAGGTTAGTCTTAACTGGTGTTTCAGGTTGGCCCAGAATGTCTAGTCCTTCCTTCTCATTTCTCACACAGTTACCTCCAGTGCCTCTTCAGGAATCAAAGGGAAATACTGTGTCTGTCTCCTGAAATACATGCTTATCGTTCTGGGGTTTTATTTAGCTTCAGGTAATCTCACCTGAATAGAAACTAGGGGATTTACCAGCAGGTAAAGTGAAGTTTGTCAAACGAGAGCAGCCAGTGGCTGTTTACCAGTCCATCTCTAGACCATTTTTCAGTTGTCTCTCTAGACAGCTACAAACAGTTACTGTGAAAATTATCCGAGGTAAAGTTAAG